GGGATTCCTCCTAAACCTGAACCCTTCCACTCCGCTGAGCCCTCCAGTCCATCCTCTTGCTAACTTTCTGAGACTCACTGACTTACATTCCTTAAGCCTATGCCCAGTGTGTGTCTGCCAGCCTGGAAGGGCACCATGGGACAGGAGGAGGGAGAAGAAAAACCAATGTGCCCCCTGTAGCTCCCTGGCTTCACTGTGGCTTCTCTACCCTGAGACTTTTCCTAAACTGCTTGGGCGAGAGGAGCCTTGTCTGCCATGGGTGCACCTGGCAGGCCTCCTTTAAAGGGTAGAACTTTCCTGTGGTATCTCAAGCATTACCTCCTCTCATTAGACTTTTAGCCGCAGCATTTGCCTTTAGAGTAATTATCTAAGTGTTGCCTTCTCAGGCGGCCAATTTGCCTTCCAACCCCAGCAAAGCTCCCTTACTTCCCTGTGCAGGCTGAGCACAGGCTGGGGAGCAGCATGGTTGCCAGGGTCTTGATGGAAAATTTGGCTCAGCCCAAGGCCAGATAGCGTCTTTCTGGTTCTGTGCAGAATTTCAGACCTGTCCTTCTCACTCTTGCAACTGGAGTCCCAGGGACAGGCAGGAAGAAGGTTGTGATCTAACCCCTATATCCAGAGGAGTGTCTGAGGGCTTATTTATTAGGGGAATCTCCCAAGGCCAGTGAGGCCCTGGGGTCTGGAAGGCTGGAGTTTGGAGAGGGGCCCCCTCTACACATGTTTTGTTTGGCTTGGTGAATGTGATAGGTCACACATCAACCACATACCTGTGTTCCACCCCATCTGTAACACATGCCCGCTCCGTGATGTGGTGCAAGGTGGCAGACCCGGGTTCAGAAGTAAAACCTCACACGAAGGAAATTAGCTACACTTGAGTAGACAAATGCCCCGCTGACGTCAATGGGCCCCCTCCCACAGCACCAGGTGTTTTGGAACCTGGAAGAGGGGTCCTGATCACAGAGAGACTTCTGAGCAAAGAAAGCAAAGAAACCAAACAAAGGGGTGGGAGGAGGGCCCCACATTCCAAGGACAGGTGGGGAAAGCAGATCCGTTTCCTGCACACATGGCCCTCCCTGGGTGTTGCTAGTTCAAGACCCACAGCCTCTCAAGCGCAACCTTGGCTTTTTCCTTGCGCTTTTGCCCTGAATGCTGCCTGTTGCCCACCCCCTCCCCCTTTTTTTACCCTGGCTTCTCCTAAGGACTTCTGAACATCTTGTGAGCTCACTCCAGTCCCTACCTCCTTCCAAGTGGTCAGTCATCTTCCCTGGACCTACAGGCAGATGCTACTTGTTACAACACATAGTTAATTTGAAAAGGCAGAACATGCATGCCAGTGGAGATGCCATCTGGGAGGCTTAGGCTTGTTCTATGCTCTACACGGAATTGTGGTTCTGAACAGGCTCACACAGGCAGGACCTCAACCAGGGCAAGCAAGTGCTGTCCTGGAGAGTGAAAGGCCAAGACGGGCTCTTGTCATTGACAGGTCCTACTGAAGTCCTGGAGGTCCTGGGCCTATAGACGTTTTCCTTGATGGTTCAGTCAACTGGAATTTGCTCCAGAAAGTAGCTTTCTGCATAATGCTCACGGCTCCCTTCAACTCAGCAAGATGGAGAGCTGCATTGACAGCCAGAGCACAGCAGGGGGTGAGGGGCAGAATCTTTCTGCAAGATGGAACCAACAGTTTCCCAAAGAGCTACTTTCTTGCTTTCCTTGCTTTGGACTGGCTCTGCAGTCCATGCAGCTGCAGGTGGCGGCTGAAAGCTCCTGCTTATCAACTCACAACTGGTTAAAGTGGAGCAGTTATTCTTCCTTCCACTTCCTTCTTGGGACCTTGGAACTTCTGGCTCCATTCAGGGTCCCATCCCCATAGGTTCTTCTATTTTCTCTCTGAGTGGCCAGAGTCAAGAAAAATCAGAAATTTCACATGAAAGGGAGTGCCTTTAATATGGCAAAATGAGACTGGTTCTTGAATAAATACCCTGACTTCTCCCACTGGTAAGGCTGGCTTTCTACTGGTTTTAGATGATAGCAGTCCCCAAGTCTTCCCAAATCTTACGACCCGAGAGCCTGAGAGAACAACACCAAAATCCATACAGGAAGCACTAACAAACTGAGCACTCTGGCTTGCTGTAAGCTGCTATGTGGGCTTGAGAGACCAGGTTTGTTGATGGGGACATCTGAGAGAAAGTCAGAAGAGCCACTCAAGAGAGGAAAATTCGGGGAGTGGGTGAGGCACAGAATAAAGTCAAGAACAAGTGAAGTTACTGTTCCAGCTTGTGACCACACAAGGAACCATTATTGCATGTTTTGCCGAAAATCACCAAATGGCAAATAGACCAAACCCTACAGAAACCTGCTAAGGCAATGACCATATAGTTTTTGTACCTCTGTTCTCCATGTCCTTATCTTTTTGCCACTTTGATCTAGGTAACACCAAGTAGGTTGATACCTTCCACATGCATTGCCTATACTGCAGGCATCCACAGCCCACACCATTTCTTCTGTTCATTCCACGTACAACCAATATCATCATCATTCTACACAAGATGAAGGGTCTCCAGACCCTTACTTGTCCTGCCTGGTACTTCTCAGCTTGCTATTCTTTGCCAACGTTTTCTTCATGCTCTTACCTCCCTTATCACCAAGCCTATTTTCAGACATGTTTCCTTGAACTGAAGATGCAAACGATTGCACATGCTTACTGTGTTACCTTCCTAAGACTGTTTACATTTTAACAGGTTCAAAGTCTTAGAGCAAAGGCATGTCTAGGAATGCTAGAGCCAAGATGGGGGCAGAAGGGGAAAAGCACAGCACTGTTCCTGGAATCCTTAAAACCATGACTGACACATTTCCTAAACAGCATATCCACTCAATCAGTCTATTCATCCAAGATACAAACAGGCACGGTGAACTTGAGTGGGCTCAGGGAAATCTATGAGAGAAATCTCATGCTTACCGCAGGTGAGACTACCAGCTCAGCTAGGAATATTCACATAAAATGAGTGGCATGCAGGAGGGAGCTGCTGATTCTCTCCTGGTTTACCATCAAGCCTAGAGCTTGAACAACCATTAATAGCTCCTCAGGCAATGTCTTCTTAGTGAATGAGCAAGTGAGGTCAGGTAACAAGGTAGAGCTTTGTAGTATATGAAAATCAGCAAATGGCCTTGCACAGCTCAAGCAGAGCTCATGTAGGATAGACTAAGAAGAGCAGGCAAGGATTTGGACACGAGCCACCAGAAGCTATGTCTGATTTGGGAAAGAAGAGGATATAGACAATCTCCAAGGAATAATATAAACACAGAGAGATTCCATTTTAGCTCCCAACCTGGAGATTTCCTGAACCCCCAAACATTATCATTTTAAAGAAACATTTCAAAGTATCTGTTGAGAGGAAAGAAAGGTTAGTGGTTGGACTTAAATCAGTAGCCTGAAAGATCAAGAGGAAGAAACAACTCAAGATGGTAAAAACACCAGTGGTAAAAATTGTCGAGAAGAAGATAAGCAACTTGGAGTAGAGACTACCGACAGCAAAGGGGCCTAACCTCATGATATAGGGGTTCCAGAGAGAGAAAAAAAATGAAGAGATGGAAGAAAAGCAATAACAAGCAAATAGAAGAAAATAACTGAGCTGAAGCAGGAATTATGTTTGCAGACTGAAAGGCAGAATTGATCAGAAAAGACACACTCATAGGCTTAACTTCATAAAATTCCTGAATTCTCCAAAACAGAGAACATTTAAGATGATCCAGAAACAAAGAGTGGACTATTTGCTAAGGAAGAAGGATGAGACTGTGGCTGTTCCCCACAGGTAGTATTCAGAAGTCAGAAATGAAGGAAAGAATCTACCTGTTACTCAGGATCCTCACATACATCCAAACACCCTTCACTTGCTCAGGGAAAGAAACTGTGGACATGCGGAGCCAGATCATGTGCTGATCGCAGGAGCCCAAGTTTTATTTGAGCAAAATGCTCAGGAAGGAATTTTCAATAAGTAACAGGGGCTGGAGAAATACAACATGTTATGCTTGTATCCCACAATGGAGCACTGGTTTGAGACATGACTGCTCTGCTTCTGATCCAGCTCCCTGCTAATGTGCCTGGAAAAATAGTGGGAGATGGTCCAAGTCCTTGAGGGACCCCTGTCATCCACTGGGAGACCTGGAGAGACTTTCAGTTCCCTGGCTTTCGCCTGGCTGAATCCTGGTTATCATAACCATTTTGGAAGAGAACCAGTGGCTGAAAGATCTCTTTCTCTGCTTTTCCAAGGAAATGCAACAAAGTAGCAACAGGTCAACCAGAATAGAGATCACAAGTTGGAAGATGAGAAAGAAAAGAGGGATAAATGTAGCATGATCACCACAACCAAGTCCAAACTGACAGGAGCAGAATTATCACAGAAGGTGAGGTAGGGTTAAACACAGATACATGTAATAAAATGGTGTATTGCAACAACAACAACAACAACAAAATGAGAAGTAATGATTGACCTTAGCAAAATCTAGGGTGGGACCACCAAAATCTAGGGTGCTCACCAGCCACCTGCACGCGGTTAGGGTGCTTTCCTCTCTAGCAGGTATCCCCGACACACCCACCCTGTGGCTGTCGAGGAATCACTCAGCAAGTTCCATTCCACAGGGTCTGCTGTTCAGCAAGCATACCAACAGAATCACCTCTTACGCACAAGACTAATTAATGCCCTGGTTTTAAGCCAACGATGTGTAAAACACAGTACTGGCTTCTACCCCTGGCAAGCTCACAATCAACTTCATTTAATGTGATACATAAATAGTTGTGGAGATTTGGGCCGAGAGAGAGACAATCAGCTTCAGGGAAAAGGAGTTATACTTGGGTTTGATTTGACACAGGTGCAAGGACAGGCAAAGATGGTATGCAAAGATGGTTGAGTGCGGCAGCTGATTGGCCCAGAGAGCTGAGATCCCAGGGGGCAGACCCCAGCTGCAGGCAAAGGAGTAGGTCTGCCTGCAGCTTGTCTAGTCACCGCTCGGGGACTTGTCTTCTTCGTTGCTCTTCATTGTTAGGTAGTAGATGCGGTTGGCCTCTGGGTAGGAGACTTTGCTGAGTGGGAGTCTGTAGATGGCAGGGTTGTTAGTCGTCATGAGGAGGAAGATGAGGGAGGAGAGGCAGAAGGCCCAGGTCCCTGAGGGCGCACCAATCTGGAAATAAAAGCATGGGGTGTGAAGACGTGTTTCCAGGTGCAGGTTGGGCCAGGGACTCTACGGGAGAAGAATGTGGTGGGTATTGAGGATGGAAATCCTCCCTAGTGAAAAACTGATGTTCCTGGCTTCGGAACATAAGAGAGGCTGGCCAAGGCATTTGAGAGGTTGGTACCCTTGGGCACAGACAGCCTTAAGGATGGAGCCAAAAGCAAACCTTGGATTGGCTCCCCTCAGGCAGCTCCAGCTGGAGCTGCTCCTGTTTTCAACTCCAAGTTTCACTGCGCTTTCTTCCTTTTGGCCTCTTTCCCTGCCCCCTCACCACTCCACACATCCTAAAAGCATGTGTATCAAATGGCTGGTCCTTCTCTGGACAGACCCTGGATGGACCCTGGCACTGAGTGGGATGTCAGCTATCACAACACACTCAGGAATCTCCCAGAAGCCTGGGAGGGGAGGGGCCCATTAGATGTCGAAGAAGATCCAAACTTACCACTGCCATGATGTTGGAGAGGGCTATTCCCATGTATGCACTGAACAGGGCTGTGGAGGAACATGGAACGTCAGCAGCTCCCCAGAGCCTGTCCCCATCCCCTTTCCCAGCCACTTCCATGGCACCACTTGGAGCTCAGACTACCCTGCGTCTGTCCCATACCCTTCATTGGACATGTTTGCCCAACACTATTAGTTATCTTCGCAGGCGCCTGTGGCCCATTTCCCACAAGACTGTGAATTCTCTGGACACAGAGATGAAATCTTACACATCTTTAAAACCCTTCCTACTTTCATGGTGGTCCTGCATAGAAACAGGGATGATAAACATCTTCTATTCATTCCCACTGAGTTTGGTATGGATTAGGCCAGGGAAGATTAGGGATGAATATGCCATAGAAGAGAATGGTTACACATCGTGTGAGCAAAGACTTTAGCTGCTGTGGTGCTGTTTGATACTCTCCAAGTCTCATCAGGACTTGACATTATGGGGTTCCTGACCAGTCCCCAGGAGCCAGGCAGCTGTGATCACCTGCAGAAGTTGGAGACCAAGGATAGTTATGGGAGTTACTCCATCTTGTTGGTGTCTCTGGTGCCCCTCTGTGTCTATCAAAATCCTACCCCAATCTCACCCTGAAGCTTTTCCAGATGGTTCTAGCAACTTTGTTCTTCTCTGAAGGTCAATGGTGCTTATAGTCTGAGCCCCCAAACACATGCAAATATTTACAAGCTCCCTGTTTCCATGCCCATCCTCATGTTGGCGGTTGAGGGGGCTGCATGGGGCATGGAAGTCATTTACAGCGTCTACATGTAAGTGGGGAAAAACAAAAGTGAAGCTGTTCCAGATGTTATTCTGCCCTTTCATTGGCTTTGGTTTTACTTATTCAAGTCCTGTTGTTTGCAGATACTTTAAGAACTCTAGGAGAGGAAAGTTGGTAGAAAGATGGGGCTGATGTTAGACCATCACTTCCGCCATTCATGACCATATTGTAGGAAGAATTCATAAACTCCTCTGAGTCTCATTTCCTCCATTGGGAGATGGGGTTAACAGTCCACATCTAGGTGATGTTCTTACACCCCAGAGCTTGGTGCTGGGGTGCAATAAGGACAAGCTGCTTACTTTTCAGATGATGCATCCTCTATGTTCTGGATGGTAAACAAGCTACCATAACATTATGCTGTGATTTTTCTGGGACCTCAGTGCTCCCAGGAATATCATCTCATTGAGTCTTTCCAACAATCTTTGCAGACACCACTGCCATAATTATGATCTGTGCAATGACTTTGCTTTCACTATCCCAGGGCTTCCTGAAGATGTGGTTACCAGTGCATCATCCTTTTCTAGCCTGTTGTGGGCCTGTTCTGCAGGGCTCTATGTGACCACCTAGAAACAACTATTGAGGGAACAGTTGTAACACATGAAGCCATGCATATGCAATGTCCTTGTAAATGTCACAACAGTGTGCAAGTACAAGACCATAAGCTGGTGGTGACTCCGTTGGGCTACAGGAACCATAAATGCCCCAGCTGCTAAAGGTAGCATCCACATTATACCTTGAACATTCATTATGCCTTGGTCCTTTTATCACCACTGCTTGCTACTGTGGTGGTCAGCATGGATTTCACATAATCCAGGGTGGAGCATGAACACTTACCACAGAAGAGTGCCAGCAGGTGGGTCTGCCAAGTGAGGGCGTAGAACATGCCTCCAATGGCGATGCATGAGAGGACGCAGTTGTAGCTCCAAAGACCCAGGTAGATGGACTGGAATGGTGTGGCCACCGACAAGGCTGTGGGACAAGGTGTGGTATTTCTGGTTGGTTCTGGACCACAGAATAAGGACCACCCTGTGGCTTGCCTCAGGGTTTAGATCTGCCTCCTTCTTGATGTTCACCCCACACCCTCAAATGCTGCTCATTGAAGGAAACTCTACAAATGGCACCTGGTCTAAGCAAAACAACAATGGGAAGGGAACAGTGGTTTTCAGGCTGTTTTTCAAAGCGAGGAGTTTCACCCTGATATTTGAAGCTTCCTGGGTGAGGGAAAGCCAAGGAGGTGAAATGCCAGCCCACTCCCTACTTCTCTGGCTAAAACAAACACTTTATTTTAGAGAGAAACACTTTAATTTGAAAATGTTCTGTTTCAAATGGTTCAGAAAAATTAGGTACCTACACATATGGATATGTGAGAGTATTCTGCAACATTTGTGGAAAAATGGAATTAAATATTAAATTTATTCTGGTGCAAAAAAGTTTTGAAACCCATGTAGAGTTGTCTCATAATATACATTATCCAAGAGCTTGTTGAAGATCCCTCAAAAGTAGAGGAATGCTATAGCCAAGGGGATGGGTTATAAATCTGGATAGAGAATTTATGGGTGCCTCTTGCATTAGTTTTATTTTTACAAGCTTTGGATAACTCTGAAATGAATTCCAATGAAAAGGGTTTACTTCCAAAATTTTCTGGCAGACACTGAACTAACTGAAAAGCAGGCTGCTTCTCTTGGTGCCCACTGGTGTCAGAGAGTGTCTGGATAGAGACGGGTGTGTACCTGTGTTTACGTAGGCAAGCATGTTCAAAAAGGGAATCACTTTGGAGTAAGGGCAAGCCAGCCTTGGGAAAGTTTCTTTTAGCTTATTCATCATTTCCAGGTGCTGGGCCATGTAGAGCCAGCAGGGTCTGGTGCTGTTTCCTGCCCCCATCCTGTTCTGTTCCTCTGCCCTCAACTGCATGGATTCAGTCTGTAACCCCCATGAGTCTTGCTTCCACGTGTCCTCTAGCTGAAACCTGTGACCTTTGGAGATCAAGACAGGGGACAATAAATCCTACCACTGATGCTGTTTTAAAACTCTAGGCAAGAGCCTTAGTCTAGAATGTTTGCTGTGTACCAAGGAGAAATGACTTTTGGAAAATCGGTCACAGGGTCTGGCTGGAGAGAGGTGGCTCTGTCTTACCTGCCAGCATCCCCACAATGGATCCAATGGCTGCGTGCAAGCAGATGAGTGGTGAGGAGATGAACAGAGCCACCAAGATCAGGCCACCTGTCCAGGGATTGTCACAGCCATACACCTGGGCGGTCCCGACAGGGATGACTTGTAACAGCTGTAAACAGAATTAAGGTTACTGGAGCATGGGCCCAACATGCAAAGAGCAGGTCCCTGGGCCAGGGCTGAGCCATTGCTGGGATTGGGTAATAGGGTGGAACATGAAGTTGATATTGCTGATTAGAGGGAGAGAACAGGGGAAGGCACAGGTTGGAACAAATGACTTCACACTCCACCACCAACCAGGCATCTGAGCATCCCTCCTGCAAAGTCAGGCAGGGCCCCCAGCCTGTGGGCTGGGTCTGGGTGCTTTTGAGGAGCACAAACGGCTTCTGCTTTCAGACAGATGTTTTGTGTGATCCGAATACACTACCTCACTATTTTTGCACTTGTGGGTTTCAGGGAACCAGCAGATTTCTTCCAGAGCTTCTGAAATCCTGGCACTATTCCAGAAATGGTGAAGACATTCTAGCCCAGTTTTGATGGATGATTTGACTGAAGGTCACTCAACCTTTAGGCAGTCAGGCACGAGTTAGAGCTTCTGCACTCGACCACTAGGTTAAGGTATTTGTCCCTTTCACTGCTGAGCAAGGTACTGTTGACACATCACCTGTGATGGCTGCTGTCCATTCAGAGCTACCTCGCTCTCCATAAGTACTAAACATGGCAGAACAGTACTGTGTGGAGCAAGGAGAGACCACACGAAGGCTGAATATGCCCGAGCCAGAGAGTGATTAGCTGTGCTAGAACTCATAGGGCTTGATATGGCAGGGATGTCAGACAGCCTTCCTCGGGGTAAGCTGAATATTCATTTTTTTCCCCTTTTTCAGTCCTTTAAGGGCACAAACAAGGAAGACATAATGGCAAGACAGAGTGAACATTGGCCTGGGAGTCAAGGGGTCAGAATATTTGACATGGGTGCACTGTGCAAGCATGGGCATGCCACTTTCTCATTCTGAGTGATGGTGCCCTGCTCAGGGACAGGTCTAATAGATTGTCTTCTAGCTTTTAAAATTCTGTCAATCTTTTTTCCATTCCTGGATCATAGGACCTACTTGAGGCCTGGGTTCTTTACAGCTGGGTACATGAATGGCACTTAAGAAATATATATTGGTTATTTGAGTGGTTTCCAAACTTGCTGTATCCTGGAGTCACCTTGGTATTTTTTGAAAAAAAAAATAAGGATGTCGAATTCATTCATGGACATTCTGATTTGATTGGTGTAGAGGCACGAGCCAGATCTCAGGTGAACTAAATGTGCACTTTGAGGATTATAGATAATTTATGGTAGATATGGAAAGTTAGCTGGATTTCCCCCCTCTTAGACAATGATTTGTACTTAAAAATATTTTAAAATTTTAGATTATAAACATCTGCTAGTTAATTCCTAAATCCTTGCAACAGCTGGCCATGACTGGGCCAGGAGGAAGCGAGGAGCCCAGAATTCTGTCTGCATCTTCCATGTGGGTGGCAGGAACGTGAGCTGCTGTCTGCTGTCCTCAGGATGTGCATTGGCAGGTAGCTGCAATCCTGAGGGACAGCTGCAACTGAGCCTCAACACTTGGAGAGGTGAGTGTCCCAACTGATGTGCCAAACACATGCCCTTACATTTTGTACTTTTAAACAACTTAATTCAATTTTGGGACCAGCCTGATTTCTCAGGGAAATAGTGGTTGGGGAATCCCAAAGAGCTGACAAGCTTTGTCTGTTCTTGTTTCTAAATGGGTCGCCTCATATAACCAAACACTGGACCAAAACCTACAAAATTGTGAAAAGAACAGAAGAGTAGGGTCCAGTTTTATGTATAGGAACCCAGTAAACACTTTTATACTCTTGGAATTCAGCTTTCCTATAGGGAACAGGCTGGAAGTCTACCCAAAGAGATCTTCATGAATCTCCAACATTTGAGGAATGTGGGGTGCTGAGAGGAATCCAATTTCCACCTTGCCATCCAAGAACATGGGTTTTAAGCCCAAGCAATCAAGAATGAGAGGAATGAGGGTAAAAGAGGCCTTGGAATGGAGTCTGGGGTTGGCAGGAAGCTTCATCTGCTGAGACCCACATTTCAGCCTGGTGACCTGTGCCCCATGCAGCCTGCCCCTCTCCATGCTGCGCTACCCGCTGTAGCAGACATCCTGGGGTAAAGAGCAGTCAGGTATGTGATGGAAATTTACTGTGCACCCAGCCTCTTCTGTACTCCTCCTAAGTGTCACGTAACAACAAGCTGGATAAACACAAGGGAAGCCCTTCATCTCTGTTGTGTAGAAGAGCACGAAGGAAATGGCATCCACTCTTCAAAACTTAGGTTGTGTAGATGAGTGTAGGAGAGAAAGAAGGTGAAAGTTGGACAGATGGGCAGGTGGAGTGAAGAGTGGGTGAGCTGAGGCCTCGAGGGGCCCAGGGTTAGGGCCAACCATGTCCTAAGCATCCATCTTGAAGATGAACAAGAAGTTTCTCTTTTGTATGATCCATACCACACAGGTCCCCTCTTTGCTGGTTGTCTAGCCTTACACTGGGGTGGGGGACTTGAGCCTTTATGAAGGTACCAATGTGCATCTGTGGCTGGTTGCTTGGACAGCATCTTTATGGAGATCAGGGACAGTTGGCCTAATTGTGGAGAGACCAATTTTTGATTTTTGATCACTTGTCAGCTGGGAGTTTTGTCTCAGCTCCACTTGCCATGGCAGTTCCTTTCTGTAGGCTTTCCCTTAAAGGCAGAGCTCTGTGGTTTTTTTTTTTTTTTTTTTTTTCCAGTTTTTTGGGTTGAGACCCAACCATGGCTAAACATTCCTGGACAAAGCTTAAAAGAAAAAAAAATTAGATTATATACTGCTTGGATGGAAAAATATTTCTTTTTATGGTAGGTTTAGGTATAAATAAATACATAAATAAATGAATAAATACTTAAAAGCTACTGGGGTAGGGGGAGAGGGAGAGAGAGAGAGAGAGAGAGAGAGAGAGAGAGAGAGAGAGAGAGAGAATGAACTATTCTTTGTTGGTTTATTCTAGAAATGCCTAGAATTATGAACCAGCCTATAGTTAGAAGCCTGGAACAAGGTGGGTATCACGCCTTGGAATTCTGATGTGGGATACAGACATCTTGATGGGCATTTTTATTGCTGAACCAAATGCCCACCTGGGCCTAAGCTCAGAGTGTGGCTGCCCCTGCAGGACCCTGAGTGGCAGCCCTGCAGTAGTGAGCCAACATCAGCGGCATGTGGGGTTCAGGTGCATGGCTGGGTACTAAGGGCTCTGAGAGTCTTTTCCAAAAGTAATAGTTGTGGATGTAGCTTGTCTTCAAAGACTGAAACGGCTTTCATAGAAGCAACACTTTGAATTACTCTAGAAGCAAAGGATGAAGATAAAGGGAGGTGGATTTCCAAGGAATGTAGAGAATATACCCTGAGATGGGGTGGTCTGCATTGAGAAGGAGAGTTCTGTCTGCTTGTGAGTGTTCAGGCTGGCAGTGCCTGTCCTGCCTTGGACTGTGAGGGCTTGCATGAGTCGAACCACCCACAGCAGGCTACCCGAGTTTTAGGTATAGGTACTCACACAGTTTGACTTTGGGCAACTGTTTCTGTGCTGTGATTTGCTCATTTGTAAAAAAGGAGACAATGATAATGTCCACAGTACTGGGCTATTGTGAGAGTTAAATAAGTTAAAAAGTTAAGATCTGGGCCTGGCCTGATAGTGTAGTGGTTAAAGCCTTTGCCTTGTGCACGCTGGGATCCCATAAGGTCACTGGTTCTAATTCTGGTGGCCCTGCTTCCCATCTGGTTCCCTGCTTGCGGCCTACGAAAGCAGTAGAGGATGGCCCAAAGTCTTTGGGACCCTGCACCCACGTGGGAGACCCTGGAAGAAGCTCCTGGCTTTGGATCGGCTCAGCTCCAGCTGTTGCCAACACTTGGGGAGAGAAAGATGGAAGATCTTCCTCTCTGTCTCTCCTCCTCTCTATATATCTGACTTTCCAATAAAAATAAATAAATCTTTTTAAAAAAATGTTAAGATCTTGGGACACAATAGGCTTGTGTTAGCATTAGCTCTCGAGTGGCTCTGTATTTCTTAACAAGGCCAAAATTTTACAGCTCATTCTGCTTATTTTTATATTACATTTTGTTTACGATCAGTTTCCTTCTAATGTCTAGAGATCAGTAGAACAAATGAATGTCACATTTGTGACAGTGGAATATAAGAGAGTTTCTCAACTTTGGCCACACTGTTTTGGGCAAGTGGAGTGTTTAATAGCATCTCCGGCATCTACTTACTTCCTAGAGGCCAGTAACACATCTCCAGATTTGATAACAAAAGATGTCTCCAGGCAGTACCTCACGTTCCCGTGGGACAACATGTCCCCTGGCCTGAGCAACTACTGATACAGAGTATAGATGAAATCTGCCGCTGTCTATAAATAATATCTTTACAATCCTAATTGTAAAATTCAGTTTAGTTTCTTACTCCTTTATGAAACCATTCCAACTCTTATTTCCTCTACAACCACTTCAAGTCTATACTGTCAACTTCATACTTCTCGATTCCCTTCTTTGCTTTCTGCTTCTCTGCATAGAACACTAGCTTCCTAAGGGTTGGGGAGCTGCTTTGTTCCTCAAGTATTTCCTGTGTGTGAACAAATGTCCAGCACATTTTTGCTTTTAGTAAAGATCTGTGGAAAGGATGCATGGATCTGGCAGAAATTTTTTGTGAGGTTTACCATCTTTCAGGGATGCTTCTAGAGAAGCCAGGTATCTGCTGATTTGTTAACATGAGAGCCATGTGGGACTTGACAGTTTGTGCTCATCTGCACTGGGTAACTTACCAAGGGCATTTCAATCTCTGTCCAGGTGATATTTGGCATGGAAGACACGGGCTTCACCAGTGTTGTGGGGAAGAAGAGGTTGTAGTGGCCAGTGGCTGTCTGGTAAAGGGTCAATATGATGTTGAAGGGCAGTGTGAAGACAGGGAGGTCCCACTTGCCGAGGATGGAATTCAAGGCACTAGAAACAACTGGGCTGAGGACAGAGGGGAGAAGGAGTTAGTCTCTGCGTTGGTCCTGACTCCCACAAGACTCTAGTGTCTGTTGATTCAGAATTGGAGATAAAGTATTCAATTAAAACTTGAATGTAGAGGAGAAATATTGAAAAATGTAAGTCATCTTGAATAGACAGTTTTATTAAATCATGTAAATATCTTCATGTTTCTTCACCTGGGGAAAACTCAGCCAAATGTGATCCTTGCAAAATGCTACAATGGGTCTTAGGTCTGGAAATTGTACATGATTGTCCTGAACTGGAATAACCTTTGGGGGTCAGACCTTCTAAAGGGGGCTGCTAAGGCATGCAGATAACATAGAGGCTGAAATTCAGGAAAAATACTTAGAACTACTCTGGGGACTGCCAACATGAACATGAAGCCCTTGGTTGTTTGTACCTGCTGTGTCCTTGATCTCTTCTTGAGAAAGAGCATGGGTTTTGGAGGCAGAACAGGACGTACATCCTCACCACTACATTTAAACACTGAGTGAGCAGCACTAGACAGTCTCTGTTATACTTGAGTTTCCCTCAAAAGCGATGCTATTCCTAACACCTCACATCTGTCATACACCATGAACTTAGGACATCACATGTCTGCTTGAAAGGTCTCCTTTTAGTGAATATGTATGGATCTCAAATGGGTACTTGGGACCACCTCAAACTCTATTGCACATGTGTAGAATCTGTCCTTCTGAGACAACTGTTTAAAATTGCATCTTTCCCGCCATGTCTTGACTGCCTGCTTCCCTTTGTTCTCAAACAACCACTTGGATTTATGTCATCAAGAATACAGAAGAGGTCAGATAGGAAATGCTTCATTTTATTGCACCTGCTGGCTTTGTTCCTATATAACCTTGTCCCTATGTATGTCTTTTTCCTCATCTTTTTATTTTTAAAAATTATTTACTTATTTTTATTGTAAGGTCAGATATACAGAGAGGAGGAGAGACAGAGTGGAACATCTTTCATCTGATGATTCACTCCACAAGTAGTCTCAACAGCTGGAGTTGAGCTGATCTGAAGCCAGGAGCCAGGAGCTAGGAGCCTCTTCTGCATCTCCCATGTGGGTGCAGGGTCCCAAGTCTTTGGGCCATCCTCGACTGCTTTCGTAGGCCACATGCAGGAGGATAGACGGGAAGCGGGGCAGCCAGGATTAGAAATGGTGCCCATAGGGAATCCTGGTGCATACGAGGCGAGGACTTTATCCACTAGGCTACCACATTGGGTATTTTATTTTTATTTTTAAGAAAGGTTTATTAATGTATTTAAAAGGGAAGGAAAAAGAGAGAGTGAGACAGAGCAGGAGCAAGAGAGAGAGAGAGAGAGAGAGAGCGAGAGAGAACTCTTCCATTCACTTGTTCACTACTCAAAAAAGCTGTAACAACCAGGGATGGGCCAGGGCAAAGCCAGGAGTCAAGTTCCATCCAGGGCTTCTGTATTGGAGGGAGGGGCTCAAATACTTGGCATCCTCTGTTGCCTTCCCAGGTACATTAGCAAGGAACTGGATTGGAAGCAGAACAGTTTGGACTTGAACCAGTAGTTCATTTTGAGATGCGTGGATTGCAGGTAGAAGCTTAGCTCACCTCACAACAATGCTGGCCCCTCTATCTTTTTCAGGTGACAGGTTGTTTTTTTTTTTGTGTGTGTGTTCTTTCACCAGGCCAAGATTTTCTGGTTATTTTGTTTTGATCCATCATTCTTGAAAATTTCTTCTCTCTCTTGCCATTTGAGTCTCATTTCTCCAGACTATTCTTAATACTATATAACATGCATTAGTACTTTCTGCCTTAAAATCTTCTCCATCTGGGCCCTCTGACATAGCCTAGTGGCAACATCCTCTCCTTGCATGTGCTGGGATCCCATAAGGAATTGGTTCGTGTCCCAGCTGCTCAGTGGAGCATCCCATTCAGCTCCCTGCTTGTGGCCTGCCAAATTCTTAGTCATTCTGTGCCCCACTCATTTCAAAGTTGGAGCTCCAAGACAGTGGGATTTCCTAGTTTTTTTTTTTTTTTTTTAAGATTTATTTTCTTTACTGGGAAGTCAGATACACAGAGAGGAGAAATAGAGAGGAAGATCTTTCTTCCACTGGCTGGAGCTGAGTCAACCTGAAGAACAGGAGCCTCTTCTGGATCTCCCACGTGAATGTAGGGTCCCAAGACCCTGGGCTGTCCTCAATTGCTTTCCCAGGAAGCCACAAGCAGGGAACTGGGTGGGAAGTGGGGCTGCTGGGACAAAAAACAGCGCCATATGGGATCCTGGTGTGTGCAAGGTGAGGTCTTTAGCCACTAGGCTATCAAGCTGGGCCATTTCTTAGTTTTTGTTTTCTTTTAATAGTTTAATTTCAAGTTCTTTCCATGTCTTTCCCACCTTTTCTTCCAGACATTGGAGTGTTCAAAGCCCTAAGGCTGTCTTGGCTCTTCTCTTTGGAGGTGATGCTGTTTGGCTTCAAGGATGACACACCTTTTCTCTATTATCTCTTCTGTATCTTTGCCACACCACCAAGTTCAAGATACGCATATGTGATTGCCATCTCATGATCTCTACTGGGACAGCTGAAGTAAAATGCATCCAAGCAAGTCTTGAGTGGGTTCCGTCTCCTGCCATCAACCTTGTTTTCTGTGAGTTTGGTCTATAACCCAGTTACTTGAGCCAATGATGGGCATGTCTTGAATCTCCTTTGCTTTCTCTCACACTCCATAGCTTCCAGGCAAGTAAGCAGCAAGTCCCACCGTCTCAATCATCTTGACATGTGTTAACACTTAGACATTTCTGGCCACATCCCCGGTGTCACCCTAGTCCAGTTCACTGTCATATCTCTGACAGTGAAGGTGGCAGGCAGCGTTTCAGGATCTACTGAAGCTCCAGATGGAATTGACTCTCCCCACTGCTGTTCTTTGTTGAGATGGAAACTATATCCATTCTTCCTCTGCTTAAAGCCCTTTAACTGTCGCCCTTCACTGCCGTCTTACTGAATCCACAGCATGTAGGGTGCCCAGCTTTTCCTTGCCCTCTGCCTGCAGTCCTGGCTGTTCTTCTCACTGGCCTTGCTTCTGAGTTTTGACCAAACCTCTCTCACTGGAGCCTTCTGCCTGGACTGTTTCTTCTCACACAAGGGAAAGGGCACGGGGGGACTTTGAAGAAACCTCACAGACAATGGCTGACTTGGCTTTTTGTCCCAATGAGTTAAGAAAGAAAGAAGAAAAAGAAACTGCCTGGAATGTTTAATGTATTTGCAAGCACTACTAAAAAGTAATGAAATAGTCCTTAAGCGCAATTAAGCTAGCCAGTTTCTCATTCCAGACTTCGAAACCAATGAGAGTTACTTCTTCGAAATGGTCAAAACCTATCCCTGGGGCTGATTTATTGCTCAGAGCAGGAGCAAGTCACTGGAACTAAGCAGTATAGACACATGGTGTTAGGAGCTGGGGAGTTCATCGTGTCAGCAGCAGGCACAGTGTCAGCACACCACCCAAGACCCTCTCACGCCGCACAGGCTCATCAGAAACTCAAAGAACTAAGCATCGTGTATGTCACCCACTCTGAGCACAGGTTTGCTTCTCCCCCCTTTGGTACTGACTTTTTAGTTCTGTTTGCAAGAGGAGGTGATTGTCCAGTAGGGACTTCAAGCGAGGCTTCCAGTCCAAAGACTCAAGGCTTTTTACACAGGCCCTGGATTCCATCTCAAGTGAATTTTCAGCTTCCAGATGTTGGTTAGCCCACACAATAGACAACTGCTGTGTGACCTTGCTTACTCTGGCTTACTGGTGCCTGCTGTAGGTTCAGAAGGCCTTTCAAAGAGTACAACTGGGGCAAGTTATGGAATTTCTGTGTGCCTTGCCCTTCCCATCTGCAGACCGGGGAGAAACACAACCCTGCTGAGCCCTGCACTGTGTCTGACACACAGGAATGACTCTAGCACTCAGGGAGACCAGCAGCATGGGAGAAAACAGAGGGCCTCACATTGCTTGGAGGATCTCTGTCCCAGAACTACCATTTTGCATTGCATATGGAGTCATGGGCTTTCCTGGGATCTTGTGCCAACAAACAGCCTGGCTGTGAAGACCCTGTGACCCCAGGGGTGCATGTCTCTGTCCAAGCTAAGACATAAGCTCCTTGGGACCCTGGGAGTACATGAGCAGAAGGAGAGAGGTGCCTCACCAGGCCATGGTTGTGAAGACCACAGGGAGCAGAAGCCACCAGTAGTAGTCCTTCTTCACTGAGAACACAGCAATCAGTATGCCAACCAGCATCCCGTTGTAGCCATGCAGTCCTGAGCCAATGGCTGACCTGCGGGTGGAATGCGGGTTACACACTGGGGCCACCTATTGAGCTCCTCCCTCCCAAGATCCTGACGTGAGGCCTAGCTGAGATGATTCCTCTCATAACACTGCAGGTATAATCTTCTCATTATAACTCAAGAAGCACGAGGCTGTCACAGAGCTATTTTCTCAGCGACCACACACACACACACACACATACACATGTATACCCTACCCTTGGTTTACTGTGGCAAAACTTGGATGATGCGATTTTGTTTTATCTGGGGCTAGGCTTTCCTTGGTTCTTCAGGGAGTCTCAGCCTTGTAGGTATAAAGAGAAATTGGGCAGAAATCGGAGGAGTGACATGGCATGCATGTGTGTGTTGAGTGGGTGCGTGTGCAAGCATATGAGAAAGGGACAGAGGGTGTGAGAGGAGAGGGAGGGGGAGGGGGCAGAGAGTTCTGACTGGGCTCTCTGTAACGGGGCTCTGAGTGCTTCCCCTCCCTGTGTCAGCTGTGGGCATCCACGGGTGCTGTCCCCCCACCTCAGTAAAGAAGGGCTCGGACATGTGTGAAACTCAAGCTTGAGTCTGTAGCCACTTGCATTTCAGAGAAGCCACGTGCAGTGCAAGTTCTCTGCTTTACCCTGCAGACATTGTCTTAGCTGCTCCCAAGGCCGCTGAGAGAGGGGACAGCTGGAGACAGGCAAGGAGCTCAGGAAGGAATGAGAGCAGCTAGAAAGGCAACCAGGACTATGCCTTTCAGCATAACTCCTTGTGTTAGGAAAATGATTATCTTTGCTTTGTGGCTCCCTGAGGAAACACACTAGGTTGGCGGAGGGTCACCAGAAGTCAATCGGAAGGACAGGATTTATCTAGGTATTGTCAGTGATGAGGCTGCCAGGGGCCAGCTCTCTGCCTGTGAAATGATGAGGCATGGGAACAGGCAATCCTCTGGCTGAAGCAGACACGAAGTCCTGGCTGGAGTGCAGTTTTCATCTCACTCCATACACCTACAACCCATCCACAGGACCTCAGGAGGTCTCTCAGCCTGGGAGATGCAGATTCCACGTCCAAACCTGGATGCTGCCACCCACTGATGGTGGCACCTCAGGTGAGCTCTTCTTCCCCCCTGGGCTCCTTCCCTGGCTGATAAACTGTGGGGTCCCTGGCCTGCACTGTCTGCCTTGTGAAGTGATGCTGTGTCCTCATAATAAGTGCTGGCTGCTTTCAGAGATGCCCACCGCAAGGATGTCATTTTCTGTTGGGACCTGATTCTCCCTGTCTCCCTCAGAGCACACACATCCGAATATGAAGGAAACACTTTCCCAGGGAACATGTGTCTTTACTATCCATGGATTACTCTCATTACTTTTGTTATGTCCTTTTGTTTTCATCTTTTAAAGATGCTATTGACCATGAGTTCATGATCTGTACAAATGGTTGGTGACTCCCACATGAAAAAACCCGTAAGATATAGACTAATCCAATATTTCTCAAACCCTGTGTCCACCAGAAGTACGTGGGAGGTGCTTGGTAAGTACACCCCCTCCCTGATCCACAGGATCGGCAGGTCTGTGGGAGGGAGGATGGAGAGCGGTGTCAGTGAGCTGAACATCAGGAAAGTATGGAAACCATTGGAACAGTCACATCTGAAGAAACAGTCAAGTTCTACAACATGCCCCCTGACCCAACCTGGGCTCTGCGAGGCACACACAGCTTAGGTGTTCCTCTGTGCCTCCCACAGCAGAGTGCATCCAGCCTGCACAGTAAATCGGAACGTGACATGGTTCCTTGTCATGAGCAGGAGCAGGTGCTTCCCGTGACACTTTGGGGACTTAAACCTTTCCCTGTCTTCCCTCATGTATCTTGCCAAGGACTCACCTGTCTTGGCTCAAGATGAGGGCACTCAAGGTAGAGACCACTGTCCCCAGAACTCCTGTGAGGGCCCACCAGGGATTCTGCATGATGAGCCCCGCGAGGATGATGACTCCACTGAGAGGGTTGTTGACCAGCATCACTTGGGAGGTGCCCCGCAGGACCCAGTCCACGAACTGGAGGATCAGGGGCTTGTCTGTGAGAGAGACACAGAGCCATCAGCAGGGGCCCACCTGGGCTGCCTGGCAGCCATGGCGAACGGGGATGCAGATGTCAGGGCATGTCTCCTCACTCAGCCTGGCCTGGAAAGGGGGAAGTGGGGAGAAATGGGTCTTCAGCCAGGTCTCTGAGTCGTCTCCAATGGGTGTTTGTTTCTGCTATATAGGCCAATGCGCCATGCCGAGCTCAACTGAATGCAGTTCTAGCTGTTGGCTTGCTTGGCAAGGGAGCCCCAGCAGCCTTCCGGAGGGAAGCTGGGTAGGTGGGGAGTGGAGGGAGGCAAGTTCTTTATGTGCTGCAGTGTGATTTGGTTAAGGGTTATGATGTGAGCAGGAAAAAAAAAGGTCCAAAAAAAGGAAACGGGAAGAAATTGTTCTAGCCCAGCTTTGAAAATTGCTGTTGAGTTGGGCCCAGAGGAAGCCAGGGGGAGAGGGGACAAGCATCCTGCTGGATCTCAGATGTGGTGTCCAGGCAACCTGGGCAACTGGAGACAGAGAGGGTGTGGCACCTGCTCATACAAGGTCACCAGGAGTGGTCCCCAGCCCCTCCAGGAGGGTGAGGTCACTATTTTCTTGGCACACAGTAGGTGCATAATAACTGGCTGTGGAACCAGGGAAGGGATGACCACTCAGCATTTGGAAAATAGCTTGTCAGAGCGCACTTAAAAAAAAATGCCTGGGAAAACAGAATGAAAAGGTGAGTTCGTTTGGTTACACAAACTTTTGAAACCCAGGCATGTCTATTTTTTTTTTTTTCAGAATTTGTTCATTTTTCCAAAAACTGTTGGAAGGGTCCTCGTGGGTTTAGATTTCCAAATTTGTGAATTTCATTCTCCAGGAGCCTTTTCAAGTATCTTTGCATGGGGCCAGCATGGTGGCGTAGCACTCCAAGCCTCATCGTGTGGTATTGGCATTCCACCTGTTCAAGTCCTGGCTGTTCCATTTCTGATCTATTCTTATGGCCTGGGAGAGCAGCAGAGGATGGCTCAAATGCTTGGGCCATTGCATCCATGTGGGTGACCCAGAAAAAGCTCTTGGCATCTGGTTTCGATTTGGCTAAGCTCTAGGGGGCTGGCCAGTCTAGGAGACTGGCCATTTGGGTAGTAAAACAGAGGATGGAATCTCTCTTTCTTTCTCTGTCTATCTCTTCTTCCTCTGTAACTGTCCCTCCTTCCTCTGTAACTGTTTTTTAAAAAACGTAAAAAATAGATTTATGGACTTCTTTCTTTTTTTTTTATTAAAAAGTTATCTATGCGTGCTGCTAATGGGGTTGCCCTAAATAAAGTCAGGGAACACATTTCATTCTGAATCTTGGAAGTTAATTCTGAGTTGGGGTCTCCTCTCTGCCAGCAGTGGAGCCCTTGCCAATGGGAAGGGGGTGGGGGTATGAGGGAGAAGCTCCTTTGGTTCTCGGGAAGGGGGTGGTCTCTGGCCTTGCCTGGCTGCCCCGCTCCTGGGATTGGCTTACCTTTCAGCCAGTTCCTGTACTCTGTCATCTCGCCGGTGAGGTAGCCCACGGCCCGGAAGAGGCTGAAGCCTCGGCGGCCAGAAGTCCTGTGAGAAGGCAGCTCATTTTCTGTCTTTTTGCTCCTTTCATTGGGTTTTTCAATTTTCACAATGTGGCTGCCTTCATCCGCTGGCCGGAGATTCTTTGAGAGAAAAGTCAGGAGAAAATGTCAGGCGACAGAGCGCTGTGAGAGCAGGGGAGACAGCAGCTGTCAGCTTTGTGAGAAAGGATCGTAAGATGCAGGGGAGCCTCGTGTCCACTGTCTCATGTTTTCCTGTGTGTTCCATGCCAGCCTGCCCTGCCCAGGACCTCTGTACCTGCCTCCGAGGGGGCATTGCTTAGCATTTTCATGCCAGCAATCCCACTGAGTAGTGTGGTCAAGTCTATGAACTTCTTTCTAGGGCTGGCTTGCTCTTTCTTTTCTTTTTCTTTCTTTCTTTCTTTCTTTCTTTCTTTCTTTCTTTCTTTCTTTCTTTCTTTCTTTCTTTCTTTCTTTCTTTCTTTCTTTCTTTCTTTCTTCCTTCCTTCCTTCCTTCCTTCCTTCCTTCCTTCCTTCCTTCCTTCCTTCCTTTCTTTCTTTCTTTCTTTCTTTCTTTCTTTCTTTCTTTCTTTCTTTCTTTCTTTCTTTCTTTCTCTCTCTTTCTTCCTTCCTTCTTTCCTTCCTTTTTAAAAAAGATTTTATTATTTATTTTTATTGGAAAGGCAGATATACAGAGAGGAGAAGAGACAGAGAGGAAGATCTTCTGTCTATTGTTTCACTCCCCAAGTGGTTGTGATGACAGGTGCTGTGTTGATCCAAAGCCAGGAGCCAGGAACTTCTTTCCAGGTCTCCCACGCAGGTGTAGGGTCCCAAGGCTTTGGGCCATCCTCGAATGCTTTCCCAGGTAACAAGCAGGGAGCTGGACGGCAAGTGGAGCTGCCGGAATTAGAACCTGCGCATTCAAGGAGAGGACCTTAATCACTACACTACCATGCCAGGCCCTTTAGGGTTATCTTTCTAATGCACAAAATAAATGAGGTTATAACAAAAACCAATACTAATGAAGAGTGGTTGTTATAGACTTGTGATATGTGAACATGTTTTAAAAAGTTCACAGATACAGGGCCGGTGTGGTGGCTTAACAGGCTAATCCTTCACCTGCAAGCACCAGTATCCCCTTTTGGGCACCAGTTCGTGTCCTGGCTGCTTCACTTCCTATCCAGTTCCCTGCTTGTGGTCTGGCAAAATGGTAGAAGGTGGTTTAATTCCTTGGGATTGTGCACCCACATGGGAAACCCAGAAGAAGCTCCAAGCTCCTGGCTTTGGATTGGCTCAGCTCCAGTTATTGCAGACATTTGGAGAATGAACCAGCAGACAGAAGAGCTTTCTCTGTCTCGTCTTCTCTCTGTAAATCTGCCTTTCCAATAAAAATAAATACATCTTTAAAATAAATCACCTCTTTACTCAATATCATGTCAATTAAGTCCATAATGTTGTAAATTGTTGCTGATGTTATGTTGGGGCTTTTAATTGATTGGGATGATATTTTGCCAGCTCTACCTTTAGACCAGAGACTGTCTCCCCAAGAAACCGTTGAACTTATCTGGACAATAAGATGCTGGACTTTATGCTTGGTAAATACTTCCAATGAAAGAATCTCAACTGAATTTGAACTGTGGTGCAAGGAATCTACAATGGGGGGAGGGTGTGGGGAGGGATGGTGGGAATCCCAGTGCCTAAAAAATTGTGTCACATAATGCAATGTAATTCATAAAAAAAAAATCACCTCTGTACTTCATACATGCAAATGCTTTAGAAACATTTACATAGAATTAAAACATTCATTTATATTGGTGCAAAACATGTGGAAATGCATGCATAGTTTTGTTCTCATCACATGCATTTCCCATGAATTTTTTCAAGATGTCTATGTGTGGATTCTCGCATTGGTTTGCACCCTAATAAACTTCTTCCGATCCATTTTCATGAGTGATTTTTATTCTTCTGAAAGTTTGCCACATGTTTTGTGGAGCAGACCCTCAGCAGTCTTGGGCCCCTCTCCTTGTGAGGGCGGCTACAGCAGTCTATTCTGCACTGCTCCCACTCACACAATGGCTTCATTGGAGTGAGCAAGCCTGAGGGAGGAGCTGTGGCCCTAGTGGGAAGACTGGCAAGTGAACGGGTGCTTCTCCACTTGTCCAGAACACCACTTATTTGCCAAGGGAAATACGTTGTGTATATAAGGGCTGGAGGGTCCTGGCAGGGGTAAGACCGAGTGCTTCCTGTGGGCACGACCCCCTGGGCGGTGGCATTTCCTTGGATAACAGTTCCACTGGGAAGCTGGGAGAGCAGCCTTTCCCCCCTTTCCTCTCCCAGTTGCCCTACCCCAACCTTTCCAACCTCCTTACCTTTTCCTCAGGCATTTCTAGGAGGGGCAGGGCCGGGTGGGTGTCCTGAGGGCTTGGGGGCCAGGAGGCGTTGGTGAACTCCGACTCGTAGAGCTTGTGTCTGCTGGACAACGGTTCAGGCAGGAGAGGGCTGCTGTGGCCCTGGCGCATCTGCTTCAGAGGGCGATTGCTCATCTAGTGGGCAATGGCAAAGAGAAAGGAGAGATGCATGAGAATGGGGTCAGAGGGCTTGGCGGAGGCTGAGATGCGTGTGAGCTCTATCCTGGAGGTGAGCAGCAACACACCCAAGTCCTACCTGAACCGCGTCTTGTGCTGCCGGAGGGAGGGGGCTTGGGCCGTCCCTCCCTCCTTTACAGAACTTCCCTACCCTCATTCTTCCAAGTCTAGAAACAGGTCCACTTCTGGTGTCAAGTGTTGCCTGACAAGTGTTGCCAAATGTGGTGGGAGCAGCTTTGTTGATTTTGTGCCTAATCCCTAAACTGTTTGCCTCATCTTCCGTATAGCCTGTTGAACCCTCTTGCTGTATTAGTCACACATAAATTTCACCCTGGACTCACACTCACGGATCCAGTGCCGAGGAAGGCCTTAGAGAATGACTTTCTAACGGCTGTGCTGGTTGCTCTCAAGCTCCCATCCTTCCTCTCTGCCCATGTTATCAGTTTCCCCAGGAGCAGCAGGAAGCAAGGTGTTTTCCTGTGGAACCTGTGCGCATCCAGGCTGTGAGGCGTTCCTCTGCACCACAGAGTTCACGGCTCACGCCATGCCTCGCTTTCGGGGAAGGTGCACAACGCCCCACACACCCACTTGACTGGTCCCTTGTGCCGCCCCAGGCAGGGCCATCTGTCTTTCCTCCCTTCTTCAAGGATTTCAGTTCTGGTCTGGCTTCCTGCTGCTCAATTGCACCATCATTCCCTGTAGTGAAACTCAACCCTGGAGCTCGCGTGAGAGGGGCACCTGCTCCTTGTCATGTCCTGGTGGGCTCCTGTGCCTCCCTTGTTCTAGCCTCCCTCTGCAATGGCAGGAAGCTGCAGGCTTCTGACACTCGGCATTGCAGAGGCTGCGGAAGGATGCAGAGTTCTCCTTCCCCTTTGCATGCCTCTCTGAGTCCCTGCATTATTTCCTCTCCTGCCCCTAATAAAAGGGACTCGAAGCTCCTAGGTCACGGAGTTTCTGTCGCTTCCTTGTGCAATACAGATTTTAAGTGCTGCTACCAATGACTTTCATAGTAACTTGTAGCCTTCAGTGTCTAGCACTATGTCTCCCAGTACTCTGCCTACCTCATCCTCATCTGCTCTTTCCAGCTCCTCCTTTTTTTAACCACCCATCACTGACGTCCCAAGGACAGAGCTTTCCTCTGGTTGTTACTTCCTGCACTTAGAGCTCACCTGCTGAGTGCGCCCCCCACCTCCTTTGACCAGCAGGAGACTCTCAACCTATTAGTTACCACTCCCTCCCTCTGCCATCTCCCCTCCCCACATTGGCCAACGTGGATGGTCAGTATTCCATGGGTCATCAGTTTTACTTCTTTCCACTTCCTGGCTGGCTCTTCCCCTCTCCATCCTGCCGGGATGGTCCCATTCTTTACCCTGCTCCTCCAAGAGAAACTCAACCCTGGAGCTTGACACACCTGTATCAAGCCACTTAGCATGGCTGGAGAAGAACTGCACGTACAAGTCAACTGCTCTCACTGTGATTGCCATTCTCTTTGGTTAGTCCCTCTTGGTCCTCAGGCTTCTGTCCCACTGCACTCTGGGTCTCCAGGACCTCCGTGCGGGCACAGCCATTGTGTTTCTGGCCTTGTCTTGCTGGATCGCCCAGAGTTGATCATCTCTCTGGTACTCCCGCTGCTTGGTCTGGTTACTTCTCTCTCTTTGGCTGCCTCTGCCTCCCATTGACATATATCTCTGCATCTGGGCACCTGTTCTTCCTAACACTCCTATCTGGGGGCCGCAGCCCTTATCCAAGCTCCATGTCCCATTGCCACTCTGACAACGATTGGATGTAGCAGATCCAGCCCTGTTTGGGCCTGATTCAGCCTTCCCCCCTGCACTCGCACAGGGATGTTCTAGAAGTTTAGAGCTGACATACTAGAATGATTCATCCTATTGCCTTCCCAGACCACTCTCCCACACAGGCGTCCATCCCAAAACAAGTCCCCCTGCCCTTGCAGACTGTTCCTTTAGAAAACTCCATCTTCCTGCTCTCTGAACCCCCTCATCCTGTCTCTAAAATGCATCGCCATGCTCACCGTCATCAAGTAGCTGCTGCCCTCACTGATGGCCACTTCTCCAGCGACTCTCCCTTGGACGCCAGGTCCCCTCATTAATTTTTATTTCTCCTGCGAGCTGAGCGCCCACAGGATGCTCACACATGTATCCATATTTGCCTTTGTCAATTCCCTGTCTAAACCCATCTACAGTGCGATGAAGACACACGTTCCAAAGAGGAGCTTGAGCCTGTGTGTCCTGTGTTCCTGGCTGCTTCAGCTCCCACTCTTCTTCTCTTGCCACACGCCTCTGGCCTCCGTCCTGGCCTCTGGCCTCCGTCCTGGTCTCTGGCCAGTGCCGGGAGGTGAAGAGCATTGCTCACTTGGGAGCCACTGTGATGCTGGTCCATCCCTTGTTGGAGAAGCTGCTCCAGGACACCCCTCATTTCCTCAGTCACTTGCTCTCCAGAGGCTCAGGAGTTTCCTTGTCAGCTCTTCCCTGGAGAACTCGACCACCCCCTGGGTCTATGGGCTCTCTGGTGGTTTAAGAAGAGGGTGCTTTTGCCCTGCTGCTCTGCGTTTTGGGGAGGTGGAGTACACAGCTAATTTCGGCAAGTCTGAAAGAATGTTCAGATCCAAACCACCCTGACGCTGTGAGCATGGCTCTGGTTTGGGGCCATTTTCTCTATTCTGGATCCTTGAGTGGGCTTCGGTGAGGGCGGGGGACACCCAGCCCTGGAGCAGGCCTGCAGGAAAGGTTGGGACAGAGGAATCCAGCTAGCCTGAAAACCTGCTGGTCTCCTGTGTGCGTTCGCCCTCTGGTGGCCACAGAGTGGTTACATCATTCCTTGCTAGTTGAATTTCCCTTCCAGCCAGCCAAGTGAGAAGTGAGGAGCGGTCAGGTTTTTGGATACCTGGATGATCGCTTCTCGGCCTTTTGGCTAAGATCAAATGTAGGTACCTGGATGACACCTAAGTCGGGGTGAACTAGAAATGCTATGGAAAGACTTAAGAGTTAGATCCAGTGACTGTGAAATCTATTGGAAACAGTGATGGCAAGCAGTTTCTTTCTAGATGCACTTCATCATATCTAAGATGTTATCAACTGCAAGGTAGATTGTTTTTTCAGTATTACCAAAAAGGAAGGCAATGCTGCCAGTCAAGATTGTTAAAGCATCATGATGAGGTTTAAGACCCATCTCCAAAGGACCTTTAGATGGGAAGGAAAGACTACATGTACTGGGCAGACATGGATGGACACAGTCAGAAGCAGCAAGAGGTGGAAGCCGCAGGAGGTTGATGTCAGCTCCACAGATAAAAGAGTCTCTAGGAACGAGGGCTGGGCACAGAGAGAGCAGCTTGTCACCTGGGGCTGAGGGACAGGGGTGGGTGGCAGGAGCAAGTGCAGGGTCCCCCTGAAGCTGAACTCTATCAGCAAGTAGCTTCTCTGTCATTCGAGAGAGGAGTCATTTTAGGGTGCTATGGTTGTAGACATGTACAGAAGCTCCTAACATCAACTGCAAAATGAATGAATGCAAAATAACACTTTTCAGAGCCTGTAGATCCCTTCCCCTTCCCCCCGAGCTGCCGTGGTGCCCATACCTCTGCCAGCTAGAAGATGGTGAGAGTGAGGCCACTTCTGGTGGCCCCCCACAAACCTGCTACATGGCTCCTTTAGCCCCAGGAGTCCATGAAATGAGGAAGGGCCGTGGCCATGCCCTGATTCACTAGCAGCTCGAGGTCCTTCCCAGCACAGGCCCTTTTCCTCATATAGCAACAAGAATATGCTGGATTCTCCCCATGGGGCATGCACACCAGAAATGCATGGTCTTTGGGAGAAAAAGAGAGGAAATTGTTTCAAAAATAATCCAACAGGGTAGAAGCTGCATTTTCCGAACCTTGGAAGGACAATGAGGATTCAACTACAGGATCTAAGCGCCCCTCCCAGCCTGACTTCTGACCCCTGGCTTGGTCTTGGTTGTGCTTTGTTAGCGGGCAGCCTCCACACTGGTAGGCTCCACACCACAATCTCCAGGGCAAACCCTGGATTTTGGCTTACTCAAGAGTGGCTTTGGACTGTGGCATGCTCCTCTCTCTGATGTGAAAGCTGGCCTGGTCCCTCCAGCTCTGCAAGGACAAGGTGGCTGCTCTGGGCACCCCTGTGGCTCCAGGCTTGCTCTATGCCGTTGCACTTGCCCTTGACCCTGAGGTTCTGCCCACCGCTCTGTCGCACACTCAACCACGATCTCAGGGCCTGCAGGGCCTGGGTCTTCTCGGGTAACCGATCAGTTCCTTCCATCAACACCCAACCCCAGCTTATCTTCTCCGTTGGCACCTCATGATCTCCTGTAGGCAGTCTCACCTTCCCTTTGGCCCACATGGTGCTTAGGTCTCATACTCACATGTACCTGCCTCACACATGCGTAACTTATATACACTTTGAGTGGCCCCAAGAAGACTTTGGGTAGTCAGTTCCAATGCTGTGGTGGAGATCCTGTGTAGGAGAGCCAGGCCACCTGGATTCAAACTCTGAATAATTCCTATTAGCTATGCATTCTTGGGGAAGCTTCGTGAACGTTCTGTATGCCTTATTTTGTTCATTCCACCATTAGAAGAGGATGATGACAGTACCTACCCTAACAGGATGGTTTTAGCCAAAATAATTCCCACAAGTTGCTTAGGCCAGTGCCTGGCACATAGATAACTGATAAACACAGGGTAATTCTATTGTTTATACCGGCATTACTTTTGACAGCATAGTGTGGGTGTGACCGAATCTCTGAGTGTTGGCATTGATGAAGGCTTGCTTTTAGCGTATGGCTGCTAGATGAATGAAATGCAGCGAAGAGAACAGGTTTTGTGTTTTTCTTGCTAATTAAATATGAATGTTCACAATGAGGTCATAAGTAGGATCAAATGTTAGGGAGAAGGACAAGGAACTTTAACAAAATTCTGCACAGAGTAGGTA